TACACAATATTGGCTAGCAGTAATTCAAAAGTAGTACAATTAACAGAGATCAGACAGATATCCTCATGTTTGCTTTTTGAGACTTGCTAACCTATAAGGCATTAAAGGAACCTAAGAATACAGTTTGCACAGACCTTCGGTAACTTTGGTATTTCACAAGGTAATTTCTTCTGACCTTTAATTTTTTAGTGCAGCGTTTTCCATTTGTAGGGTATCACTTCAGAAAGGGCTGCCTTTATGTATTTTAAAAAACTCCATTAATACCACTTAAACTGGGAACTTGTAAGCACAGCTCTCATCTTAAGGAAGAATTTTCCTACACAAGTCACCAAGGAGAAACTACAAAATTTTAAGCAATTGGATTCTTTGCCACTATCTTTATATGTCTGTGTACTGCCACTGAGGAAAGCAAAACATCTGACAATATCTGTGTTCAGAAACGTAAAAATTACAATATATGTTATTGCTCATGTAAGACGTGGTCAATATTCATGCCAGTGCTTTTTCTACCTACATAATTAATACTTTGAGATAAAATTGAAGTATTTTGTTCTCTTTGAAAGTAAAATACACCATTCTGTTGTCCTCACAATTATATGCTGTTCTCTTTGAAAGTAAAATACACCATTCTATTGTCCTCACAATTACATGCTGTTGCTAGGAAGTTACAACTCTGCTATAACCTAATCATCTGCTATTTAGATATGGACTCATGAATCCCATATTTTTATTCTAAATTTAAGTTCAGTCATCGTAGCTAATGTCCTTGATGCTATCTCAAATTGCTGTCATTACACGGATCACTAGAAATTGGAGGTAAGAATAAAAAAGAAAAGAAAAAAGAAAGCTACCAAATTAGATGATGGATAAAGGCTTAATCAATTTAATTTTACCACCAAATCCATTCCTTTCCTCTCAAGCTGTCAGGGCATGAGATAAGTGGAACACATCGAAAAGCACAACACAGTCCTTTTGTGGGGAAGAAGTTGTGTCCCTGAACCTTGCCGAGATGAAACACGCTCATTTATTACTTTGGCATTGCAGGATGATGAAGAACCAAGCTGGTTTCCTCCCTTCATCTTCAGCACAATCTTTCTATTTCATTAATTTTTCATGGAATTTCATTTCACAATCATTTTGCCTATCTCTGCCACTTGCTGTCCTTATTTAGTTTATTTATTTCATGTCCTATTGTAGCAGCAGTGACTCTTGGCCATGGCTTTCTACCACATCAGGGATACCTGATGCCCTCCTGCTTTTAAGTAATGAGCTTCACTCTGCAGCCCTATAAACCACGTTGCAATTAAGGTGGCTTATTTGTTGTCTTACACTGCAAAATAACTCGGAAGAGTTATCTATCCAGTCTCCTATTTTATGCTTACCTTCTGTGCGTTGATTCCTAACAAGTTGCTGGAGGCTGCTGAAGTGTGGCCCTTTTAGTATTATCAGTAAATGGCAACTCTGCTTTTGTTTGGTCTACTTGTAATGACTTATCTGGGAAAACAAGCCTTCTTTTCAAAATCTATACCACAGGCTATGAAATGGGCACAAGCTGTGCTGAGGCCGCTGTGCTGAGTTCTGCCAGTACTCTGCCATATTCCAGAGCCCTAAGAAAACACAAGAACCCACAAACACAGTAACCACCTATAAACCCCTAAAACGGATTTCTCTAAATCAATAGGCATAGTTTCCTCTCCTCTGGTCATTTTATACACACCAATTTAAAAAAACCCCAGAAACTCAAAACTGAGCAAACAGAGAGGGAAATATAAAATATCTGTTACTGCTGCCACATGAAATTAATATGCAGATAATCTGTCAAGCATCCATATTTATTTTCATTAGATCTTAAAAAACTTAAGATATTTACTTCCCACTGAGAGTTAACATACTGTTCTAAATGGCAATGAAAATATTTCTACCAATACTAATTTAACAAATAGGTCTAAATATCCACATTTTAACTTTTTAACACACATTCTGCATAGAGTGTAAAACTGAATAAAATGACTGTAAATCGATGTTTGCAATATGATATTCATTGCATAGACATTTATTGTTAAGGCAGGATCTTACTGAAAAGGCTGCTGGATTTCATAAGTATGAAAATAAGATGCATACAAATTAATTACTGGACAATGATATTGTACACTGGAATAATTTTCAGTGTCCTACACTTTGCAGTGCTTGATTTGTATATATCGAAATTCTCTCTGACTCTTACTGCATGTGTTTTTGGTCTTTAGCTTTTTTTTTTAGGCCAAGTGCAGAAGGAAATTCAGCTATTCAGAGAATGCTGTTTGCTTTCCTTGCTTGAACTTGCCTTCTGCCCCCAGGAAACTCCTAAAACAGAGCATCCAGGTATAAAAGAAATGGAGTGAAGTGCTATAACCACACACAGGATTTATAATTCACACTAACCAGAGCAAAATGATGACTGAAAGAATGAAAAGTAGAACAGAAGGGATAAGCGAGGCTACTAATAGAGAACAGTAATTGTTTCCACTGCTGTACATTCCTAGATATTCTATTAGGCAATGTCTCAACCTGTTTTTAAGCACAGTTCATATGTAACATTTAATAAAATATAATAAGTTATATAAAAAATTTGTTGACTCCATTTCCTTAATGAGTGGGGATGTGACAGATAAATTAATTTCATTACTTTGTCTAAAACTCAATTTAAATTTAAGACTATAGTGAATTTCTTTGCCCACTCGTGTTCATAGGTATCCCTGGATATAGATGTGTAAACATATGTGTTTAGTTACATACTTTAAAGCAGCTAAAAAGCATTCCTGCTATAAACAACAAGATATGTGCTGGAGAATAGTTAAAAGCAAGTGTATTTGGTCTAACCCTCTGCAAAGATTTTCTCACAATCTATTAAACAGATCAAACCTGCAAAATAGTGGAACCCACAATAATTCTCATTAAAAAATAGTAATTCAATAGTCTAATAAACATTTTCTTGACTAGTTTCCTCAATAGTCTGTTTGCTAAGCAACACTTCCTTATAACATATCATAAAAATAAAAAAAAAAATAAAGATGGTCACTAAATAAAATAACATAATAGTAAAATCCAACAGGTTTTATACAGGGCATGCCTTCAGTTACAGTTTTGGCCAGCACGATTTTATAGGAATGTGTATTTTTATATGTATACTGCGATTACAGAGAAAGGAAAAACAAAATCATAGGAACACAAGCCTGTAGTTAGTACACTAGCCAAATACATTTTTTGAAAAGTGGTTACAAGTAGCACATTTGAAAGAATAAAAAACAAATACTTCAAGTGCATGTTCTTATTGATGTTGGTCAGTTAAGCACTTTCTAGAATGCCATCCACCTCCAACTGTGCATTCTGCAAATAGTTGTCAGCTACCAAGTTATTGTTGAACAAGTTTTTGTACTAGTTTTTTTTTAAGACGTTCAACTTCCACCTTGTTTTGGCAAAACAAAGCTAAAAAGGATGCATCAGAAAAATTTTATTCAAAGACCCTAACTTTTGTCCGCTCTTAAAAACAAAATTAAACCAAGCACCTTTCCTCCATTGCATAGATTAATGCTTTACTCTCGTCTCCTGGCCAAGTACAGATTGCTAAAGCTAGGCTAAGTTTACAATTCTGTAGAAAAGTAGTTTTTCTAGAACAAATCAGCATTAAAAAAGTCTGCAGAGCACAACTTGATTACAGCGAAATTTTAAGGGAACTGAGTATGGAAGCGTTCCTTTCTGAGAGTTTTAAAATTTATTCTGTAACACCAAGTAAAAGGCAGCCTTTCTCACCAGGTGTTATAACCTGCTAAAAACCCTGAGTAACAAGTTGAGGTTGCACACCTACTCAAAGTCCTGATATATCTGCACGTCTGTTGTTTCTACTTGTGTGCAGGTCACTATTCGTTACTATGATTTTGAACATAGAGAGTTAACAGATGAAAGTAAAAATAGTGACAATCAAATGACACAGGCTTGCATTTGGCCCGCTTTTACCACCTACTATACAAAAGCTCCTTTGACACCTTTCTAAAAAGTTATCAAATACCGCACTTAAGGACTTGAACACAATCAATAATTAAGAGACACTTTAGCTAATGGCACCTATAAATTAGGTTTTCTAGAATCTGGAAGAGAAAGAGCATCAACTTGAGTGCTAGCTGACTACAAGTTGTGTGAGTACCACAGAGATCATAATTACATGTTAGATTATATTTACTGCTTGGATAAACACTCGGACTTCGCATCTCTGCAGCTGAATGCCTTGCAGCTGGGCATCTCTGGCACTCTGCTCCTCGTATCAGTTTATTTTACTTTAAAGTGCTCACAGCCGGTTAACTTCGTCTTTTTCAGGCAAAACATCAAAAATCAGGCAGTAGTGTGTCATCCCCTCTACAGGAGAAAGCAAGACAGCCTTGCGAAGAGCTGTTATCTAGGGCATATTCCCTGTTCGCAATGACATCCTGTAGCTTCACTTTTCCTGCTTACGGCAATTAGCGCCTTCCTAAGCAGGGCTCGCTTACGGACGGGGAACAGCACCGAAACAGAAAAACTTGGTGGACCTCGTCTAGAAAAGGAGAGAAGCGGTAGTTTGGAGGGCGCGACAGCCCCGGGGGGCTCCGAGCCGCGCTCCGCCCGGGCAGCGGCAGCTCCTGGCCCGGGCACGGGCGGGCCCCGGGCCGCGGTGTGAGGCGGAGGGCACCGCGCCCGGCCGGGGCCTGCCGGAGCTCCCCCGCCGCACCCCCGTGGGCTCAGCCTCGGCCCGGCACAAGGCGGGCAGGGCAGCGAGCTGTGCCCGGCCGCGGGGACAGCGGCGGCCGCTCCCGTCCCCGGCTGGCCCCGAGCGAGGCACCGCCCGGCCCGCCCCGGCCGTCGGGGCAGCGCGGGGCTGGCGCCGGCGAGCGCCGGGCGCTGACAATAGAGCTGAGAGCAGCCGATGATGTGCAGGTGGCGGGCGGACAGAGCGGGAAAAGAAAACAACAAGAAAATCACATCTCTCTTACCTTTCCTCTTTGATCTCCTCCTCCTCCTTCTCTTGGACTTGCATCTCAGCTGCCCGCTCGGCCCTCCCGACGCCCTGCCGCTGCCCAGGACGGATGTCATGCCGGTACCTCAGCGAGCAGCACCGCGCCGACGTGTTCTCCTCCCGCGGAGTTTCTCCTCGTTCTGGAGGCGGCTTTTATAGGGCGGTGGGTCGGGCCGGCGGGGCTGTGCCGGGGCTGTGCCCGGGCTCCGCTCGGCGCTGCCGCCCCGAAGGGTCGCGCCTCCGCCCCGACGTGCCGGGCCCGGCCGGGGCGATGCCCGGGGGCGCCGCCGCGGCTCTGCCGGCCCCGCGCCCACTTTTTGCACCTCTGCGAGTTGCTGGGCACCGGCCGCTTTGAAGCCGATGGTGCGGGGGTGGGGGGGTGGGGGGGGCGAGGGGGGCGGATTTGCTGCTGCAAAGTCTCCCGCAGCCCAATCGCTCCCGCCGCCCGGCGCTGACATCAGCTCCGCCAGCCCTCGCCCCCAAACTCCGCTCCCCCGGGGCTGCCGCCTGTGCCCGGCGCCCGGGAGAAAGCGACGGAGAATGGCCCCGAAGGGAATAAAAACATCCTGCCGCCTCGTCTTGGAGAAGCCGGAGGGGCAGCTCGCAAGAAGGGAGGCTGCAGGGAGGATTCAAGCTTTTTTTTTTTTTTTTTTTTTTTTTTTTTTTTTGTGTCTGCTTTAGACCATGTGGACACTGAACACTCCGCTTCCACAGAAATGCCTCTGCTGTCCTCCCCAGCCACGCAGTTATTAACTAGTTGACTAATTGGGATGCTTATTACTCCCAGTGAAAGAATATGAGTTACTGTTAAAGGATCCCTGTGTCAACAAACCTTATGCAAGAGGATAAGTGTAGCGATTCCCCTTGAATCTCCAGTTATTTTTAAGGTACGTGCTCTGTTACATTCACGATCAAGGGCAAAAGCTCTGTGAAAGAGGAGTGTGTTGTCGCTCAGACTCACACATTAACACTCTGCAGTGCCTCATTTAGGCAACTGTGCAATTAAAGTGTCGGGAGCAGAGGGGCTTTTACAGAGAGGAGAGATGACAACAGCAATCCTCTGAAAAGCTTGACTACAAAGCATTATATGTTCGTTACAAAAAGCAAGGGTACACAACAGATAAGATACTGCTTAAAGTTACGAGAGACCTACTGCTTCTATGCTCTATTGTCCTTACGTATTATCTCATTTAAAAACACATATCTGGAAACCTAGGCAGTGACTGGAAAATGGAAGAATATCAAGAAAATTATGTTAAATAATGAATGTCATCATTAGTGCCTACTGCATTTGCAGTTGGCTGAAGGAGCACAGCAAACCCTTCTTTATCAGAACTCCTTCAAATCTAAAACTTCCTCTTGTTGGAATGTAGGTTACCTGGCTCCTGCTGCTAACCATTTCCACTGCAACCCTCCCAGCTATTAGAAACCCTCTGTGTTTGGCTGGTACGTAGGCCTCTGTAATTTTTGGATGAGGCAGAGCTACACTTTAAAGATTTTCAAATTAAATAAACAAAACCACTTCCATAAAAGTCTCTAACGTCTCTCCTTTAAACCGGGATATGGATAACTCAGGTGTGCCAAAATGATGTCACCTCTTTGACCCTCTGTGCTCCAGGAAGCAGGTTGCATATGGTAAGAAGGCCCTATGTACCCTCACTTTCAGCTATGTGGAACAGCACAAAGCTCAGGAGGAAATTGCCCTCCCATCTCAACAGCTAAAGCAGGAGAGCCTGAGAATCCAGACCTGCATCGCTTGAATGTCAGATGTAGTTCAGGAAGCTCTGCATGGAAGTAGGTTCTTACTTGCCCAATTATTACAGGTTACTGGCAGAGTTTTTTTACAATATACACATCACCCAACCTGCTACATGGCTTAAGTAAACATCTCTTTAAAGTGCTTCTGTCTATTTCAGGATAAAAACTTGTCTGCAGGAAAACAGAGAGGCAATCAGTATTTTTTATTTTCAGCTTCAGCCTTTAACCCTTCTCCCCTTTTGCTTCTGATTTCTGTTGTTCTGACCACAGCTGACTCTCATCTATTAATGTGGCAAGAACTTGTAGCTGTATGTGAAGTAGTAACTGCTGCAGCAAAACACAACTTCATGTTCAACTGTACATCAAAGTTCTGACCAGTCTGGAATTTAAATCACTTAGTTTAGAAGCCAGATTTAGAAAAGTGTCTTCTGTATTTCAGTACCAATCTATGTTCTCTCCATTATGGATGTAAAAGAGAAGCCAGATACAATTAAAAGGAAAATGAGCATCCTGGGACATTCATTCATTTTTAGGAGTGGCTTCAAGCTCACTTCATTAAATTTTCTGAAGGCTTTATTTCTGATAATATTTTGTTAACATACTCTCAAAATGACTGGACTCTAACATGTTAAGAAGACAGACTAGCAGTGCCAGTCTCTGGAGGTCATGCTACCAAGCCAACACGAAAAGCCACCAATTCTCAGAAATTATTATTCAGTGCTAACAGATTCATGAACTGCTTTTCATTTCTAGGCACAGTTCTAAGAAAGTATCAGCAAGGCAACATTAGCAATGATGGATCTATACTGGTGGTGTAGCTCCCTCCTAGGTGGGTTTCAGGACTGGAGAAGATGAATGAATGAAGACAGCTGAAGTCATGCTGGTGAAAGGTTTCCCCTTGGCCTCACACCTTCTTGGTGTGAAAGGCAGTTAATTTTTTTATACTATCTAGCTACAAGGTCAATAAAATTCCTTAAATGTGCTGTGCTTATTCCTCTTGTTCCCGTAATGGAAGGAGTTGGCTTCTTCACCCAGTCAAGGTTTCAACAACCTTTTTTAACTTGACTGCAAGATTACCAGTCCTACTCAACCAGGTGCAGTTTATCTGCTCAGAAAAACATGTTTTCAAGCACTTTGTTAAAGTGACATAAACTCAAACTAGGAAATACAAAACCAGTATCAATGAGGTGGGAAAAAGCTAAATTATACAATAACACCATCTCTCTCAGTTATGTGCTTGTCTACCGTTAGCCGATGCACTTGACCGTTTTATCATCCCACAGAAGTTACGGCTGTTCTTCAGTGCCCCGGTAATGGTTGTTAGTGGTGTTCCATGCTCCTCTTTGTTGAGTAAAGCATCGTAGGATTTTTTCATCTCCATGGGCCAACAACCTGTGGATGTTATGATTATTACCTTCAAACTGAAGTAACTCAGACTGTTCTTTGTTATCTTCAGACTGAAGTAAATCAGACTGTTTTAAAGGCATAACTTCACACACTTTGACTTAGAGCCTGCGAAGAAATGCGCATCATACCAATGCACAGTCAGCTATTGAGGCCTAGGTGAGTCAGCCAGGTAGGAGAGTTTAAGGTGTAAGTCCTGATGTGAATGCCTCTTCCCTGTGCTGTCTGGGGGTTGTGACTCCTCTCATGAACCCATCACAGCTACTGGTCCCAGCCAGTACATCAAAAACCTCTGTCCTGTTCTTGTGAGATAGACAGGTCTCTCTCAGTGCTTGAGGTACCCAAGCAAGAAGTCCAAGCTTTGCAGGATTTGTGACAATTCACTTCACTCAAGTTCTCTGAAAAAAGGAGAGGTGAAGGGCAGTCCAAATAGTTATTAACTGGAAGACTGATAGTGACTGTGAGAGATTGACGGGGAAAGAGTGTGTGAAACTGGATGCCACGTTGCACACCTTAATTATGCATTGCCATTTAAATTTCTGTGCCTAAGCAATATAGTGTAGAGTTAGTAATCAACAGAAAAGGAAAAAAATTAAAATGGATGAAGGGAAAAAGCAATCCACCCTTATTTCAGCTAAGGACTTCAGATGAGCAACTTTGAGAAAGTAACAAAAATCTGAATATTAGGTCCATGTGTATTATGGGTGGCCAATACCTTTTCTGTGCAAACATATTTAGATAAAGTAGAATAAATATCAATATTTTTGTTATCCCTCTGTTTTTTAAAATTTGGAGTAGCGTGATTTTCAGTGACATGATAATAGAAAAATTGCAAGTGAAACAATTTAAATGCTGTGTTGAGCATACAGAAACACAAATGTGTAAAATGATGTTGAGCATCTAAGGTGTCTCAGGGAATGCCCCGCACAAGTGTTGCAGCGCTTGCAGGGGGGTGCTCATCTCAGAGCAAAAGGGTCCTGCTGAACAGCACAGCAAGTGGGAGAGGCAAGCTCCAGGCTCTGCACTTCCCAGAATGTGCACAAACCCTTGAAGAAGAGGCCACCTGGCTGCCTTATTCCACAGTTTGCAGCTGCACTGTCCCTTTCCTAAGGAGATATGGATACTGCAAGCAGCAGGACATGGTAGAGATTTTTGCAATTTACTGCTTGGGAGCAGACACACCCTGTAGGCTCCTGAGAGGGGACAGGGATGCAGTAGCCACCATCTATTTTTCACCCCTCCTTTCCATCCCATTTTTGTTTGATTCTGCTTCCTCCTGCCTATGTAGGTAGACAAAAAAAAAAAAAAAGCCCTTAGAATTTGGAAGATGAAAGATGCTCAAGGGCGTTAAAGCAGGACATGAATGCAATCGTGTGGCTGTGCAGGTGAGACTCCAGAGCCTTCTGCCGCAAAATGCCTGCACTAATCCACTCTTGCCCTACTTACAAGGAGCTGTCAGTGTGGTTATTTGCAGCAAAAAAACACTTTAGCTTTGGGGCCAAACATCACAGGGTGGTGATGAAGCAATGAGGGTAGGGATCCATATTCAGTGTATCAAGTTTGTCAGAAAAATACCTCACTGCAGACAGGTCCTCCTGTCTGCTTTGCAAATTTTTGCACATGAAATATCCCAGACTGGATAACACTGTGGTATTGCATAGCTGGAGGTTAAGGCAATGCTAAAAGGATTTGCACCCTCACTAAACTGCAACAGAACTGAAGGGATCTGGGATTCTGTGTTCTCTGCTGTGGGAAAGCCACGGCAGACAAGTTCATCTCCCACAGGAGAAGCTTCCCCTGTTCCTCCTCATTTCTCCAAGACGCCATATCTAGTCTGATGGGGGCTTAGTGCAACATGCCAACAACAGGCGATGTCCAAGTCCCTGATGAGCATGAGATAAACATTTCAAAGCTG